CTTGAGGAGAAGATCTGGAGGATATGGAAGAGCCCATGGAGCTTCCACCAGGATCTGATTATGTCAGAACCACATCCACCTGGGCCAATCCAAAGGTGAGGACCACCGGAATACCATCTATCATGAGCCTGCGGAGCAGACAAGGAAGGAGGGTCAGAAGATGAAAGACATAGATGAGCCAGTACTGATCCCACAGAGCCATCAGAAGATCTCTGCATCCGGAGACAAACCTGTCCACTTTGTTGTTGTATCTAGAGTCCGGGAGGTCCATACCTGGCACCCTCCCACCCCTGAGCAAGTCTATCAGCCAACTGTCCATGCCTGGGATGTAGATGGTGGACAAGGTTGGAACATGAAGTTCTGCCCAGGATTCCACCTCTCTTAGCGCAGCGACACTTCTGGTCCCTCCCTGATAACTGACGGATGCCACCGCTGTGGCGTGGTCTGAATCCGGATCAGCTGACCCTCCAGTCGGAGTGTCCAGCATTGCAGGGACAACCAAGTCACCCGAAGCTCCAGAATGTTGATTGGGAGTCTGGCTTCCCCTGACATCCCCCTCCACCAACATATAAATGAAGGACTTCCCCAACCAGAGCTGAACCCCCTCCGGGCCGGGGACAACCTGGTCTCTGGTGACAGGCGGAGGACTGGGCTGACCTTTCCCACGGTGACGGGGTGTTGAGTTGGGAGGGTTTGGTGTGGAACTGGGCCGGCCTTGAAGAAAGCGACCAACAATCCCAGAACGTACATACAGTAGCGGAGTGTCGGGGGACTCCTGGTCTACAGAGGTCAAGTCTGGGATTGCAATTTGGTGGCTTGAAGTGTATTTGGGAGAAGAACCCCAACAGGTCAGACTTCTCTCAGAGGGGGTACGAGGGGCTGTACCTGGCTGGTCACCGTTTACCAATGTCCCAATCCTCCTGTAGGCGGAAGTATAACCCGAAGGTCTGTGCTCCTTGATGAAGGGGAGAGATATTGTTATGTAGTATCTGTACACTCATCACCCAATCAGAGACTACGTACCACGGGGCGGGGCATCTGACATTTCTTCGCCGCTCGGAGAGACGCGGAGTAAAGTCGGCGTATCGGAAGCCTCGTCCTCCACACACAGATGGCCTTCCGTCGGCATCATGTCCATGGAGCAGCACTTCCTGCGGAGGAAAAGTAACAAGAAAACAGACAATCCAATAAAGTTGCATCTTCAATGTACTCGGGTGCGACCTCTGACCTGTTGCAGCGCCGATACTCACCAACACTTTGGACGTCAGCGCTGCCCTCCCCCATCTGCAGCTGCTCTGGTCGTCATGCCCCCCCCCACCCC